AAGAGGCACACACACAAGAGCAAGTGCAAATACCAGGTGCAACATTAATAGAACAGTTAATTGAGCGAGTCGTTTTGAAAAGTGGGTTCAAAAGATGAATGAAAGCGTGACCTTTGCTGAGTGTAAAGCTATTGAAGAAAGAGTGACTTACCACCTGGAACGAGAATGTGAGAGAGTCCAGAAAAAAATGGAGCTTAAACTTCAAGATTTGGGTAAATCTATGGTGGACTGTTTGAAAAGGCGAGATGCTCAAATTGACCACAAATTAAAAACCCTTACGCCTGTTATGTCTACTCCCATACATCCCAAGTCAAATCTTTATGCTCCTGTTTCTAGAGCTACAGTGACTAACCAGACTTACCATGTGCCAAGTAGCCAAATGCCCTGCTTAGAAGGTATGTCAATGATGTCATTCCATCCTCCAGTGAAAATAGAATTTCCAAGTTTTAGTAATAGTGGAGAGGAAGATCCTGTTACTTTCATAGAGAGATGTGAGGAATATTTTGCCATTCGTCCTCTCAATGATTGTGAAATTCTTGCTTCTTTAACATCAGTATTAAAGGGTACTGCCAAAGATTGGTGGCTGGCAGAGAAGAAGAACGTTCAGACATGGCAACGGTTCAAATATCTTTTTGCGCTCATTCTTAAGTGAAGACTATGAAGAAGAAGCTGCTAGAAGATTACTGGAAAGGAAGCAGGGCGCTAAAGAGAGTATTAGAGATTTTACTTATTACAGAGCCTTATGCCTTTGAAGAAACAAGGACATGTCAGAGAGGGAAGTTGTACATGCCATCTTACGGAATTGCAACCCACGACTAGCGAGTTTACTCTGAGGAACTGTGAGAGGGGTGGATGATTTGGTAAGATTTGGCACTCAAATTGAAAAGGATTTTGAAGAGTCTAGAAGATACTGGAGCCAAGTTAATTCAGAGACGCAGCAACGGAGAGCGAATGCTTCTAGAGAAGTTGTACTAAAGTCTTCGCCAGCTACAACAATTTAAATATAATTTAATACATATCATTTAATACATATCATTTAGAGTACAGTATTAAAGCTTTCTTGAAAAAAAAATTATAAAAATAAAAAAATATGTATAATTAACTGGGTTTTGCTACTCTTTAGAGCCAGTGGGTATTATAAATAACTTTTTTTTTTAAGTTAATATTTATTCATTAATGTATTTATGTATTCACTGATTATCATTTATAGTACAGGATTAAATCTTTCTTTAAAAACAAACAAACTAAAACAAATTCATATAGTATGTTTAATTATCTGGGTTATGCTACTCTTCGGAACCAATTTTACAAACTTTTTTATTTTACAAAAAATGGCTACATTTTAAATACAGATTAAAAAATATATACATATATATTACTTTTTAATTTTGTTACCCTTCAGAACCAATGGGCATTATAAATAACTTTTTTAAGTTAATATTTATTCATTAATTTATGTATTCATTGATTATGATTTATAGCTACATTTTAAATAAAGGATTTTATAAAAAATAAAAAAATTCATATTTTTTGTGTCGCTGGAACATACGTTGGGTCTGAATGGGTTAAGATGAATTTTCCAGCAACAGTGTTGCATGATACTGTTTGAAACATTGATTGCTGCATATTATGTATTACTGTGTAGTGTTTCACTTTCACATACTACAAAAACAGTAGTAATCAGTATATTCTGCACAGTGTTTGTCACCATCTGCTGGTTCTTACAGAAACACACACACACACACACACACACACACACACACACACAGTGAGACACAGACGCCATCATGGGGATCAGGTGGGGAATCTGCAGCGCTGGGAAAATCAGTCATGACTTTACAGTGGCACTGAAGACTCTGCACCAGGTAAAGAGCCGAAACACACCTGCTGACATGAGAAAAGCGCTCAAGAGAGGCTTCAGGACACTTTACACGCACATGCGCACCGAATGTTAACTTCATTAACTTTTTTCTTGCAATTGTGAGAGAAAGTCAGAATTATGAAATAATGGGAAAAAAATCACAATTACCTTTTTCTTTTTTTTTTTTTTATTCCATGGCGGGGGAAAAAAAACTAAATCTGAGACACAAACTGAGAATTCTGAGAAAAAATATAGAATTGTGAGATATATAAACAAAGAATTGCCAAATGTAGGCTAAACTTGGAATTGCAAGAAAAAAAGTGAGTTTACATTTCAAAATTCTGACTTTTTTTCCTTGCAATTCTGAGGGAAGAACAGTCAGAATTGTGAGATATAAACTTGCAAATTCCAAATAAAAGTTTGAATTGTCCAAAAAGTCACAATTAATATTTTTTAAGCTTCCATATTAATTCTATTTTTTATTTGATTCTATTAGATATCTTGATATCTTTTTCCAGAGCTTCATCAGTTGTTATTTTCTTTTTTCTTTAAATTGTATTTTCTTTAAATTCAATATTTTATCCTGTTGATAATCATAATAGTCCTATTGGAGATTGATCTTTTTTGTTTTATTATGGACTCCTGTAAGAAGATGATGGAAGCCTGTTTTACTCCAAGGAATGCAAAAATAAAAAAGGTCGTTGCAACGTTGTATCTCAGAACTTTGTCTTCTTTTCTTAGAGTTCTCTTCTTGCAGTTAATTTTGTGATAAAAAGTTGCAACTTACCTTTTTCCCGGGAGAGCGTGCTACAAAAGAAGAGAAACCACTGGCCATGATCCTGAAGGAGGTCCAGGAACTGATCGCCACACGTCTTCCTCATGGAGGTCATGCATGACTTTATTACGAATAGATATCTTTTGTAACATTATAAATGTCTTTACTGTCACTTTTTATCAATTTAACATAACCTTGCTGAATAAAAGTATTAATTTCTTTTGAAAAAAGAAAGAAAAAGTACTGCCCCCAGACTTTTAATCGGGAGTGTATAATGTTACAAAAGATTTCAAACACCGATCTGATCAGACTAAATTTAAATCACTAACTATATTTACTGTTTTAAAGGCTTTATGTGATGAATCTCTCTGATGTCAGCGTGTTGCGTCTGCGTCTGCGTCTGCTGTTTATTAAACAGGGTTAAAGCACTAACAGCTGCAGTGAAGACCCTTCCATTCCAGCTGCTCTGCTCTGTTTGAATTCTCAGCGCTCATGTAATGTAAATATTTGATCATATATTACTGTAGCTGCTGACTAATACAGCTATTAAGGTGAAATTATTGCCGTGCTGCTGAAAGTAAATCACATGCACCCAAACAACTCGTGATGGTCATTCAGATTATTCACTTTTACATTCGTTCATTTGGCAGATGCTTTTATTCAACGTGGCTTTGACTGGATCTGATGCAGGCCTGCAGGACACATCACTTTTTAATAATAATAATAATAATGGATTTTTTAAAAATTTGAATCACACCTTTCATGCATAAAATGTGCCATAATGTGCTTCACTGGTCAGAATAACAACATTTAAAACATATGTATTTATATATAAATGTGATTAATTAAATATATATTTTCAGGGCTGTTATTTAAGCATTAACCACAAGATGGCACGTTTGTGAAATGATCGGCTTGACCTTCAGCTCATCTCTGCTGTGTCATGTGGAGCAGGTCTGAAGGAGAGCTCGCGCATGTCTCACGCAGACTCTGCGCTGCTGGCTGAGATCACGGATGAAGCCCGGCTGCAGGTGGGCGTGGTCTACAGCCAGGACAGCCAATGAGCTCATACCATCATCACCATCAGTAAAGGTTTCTGGTGCTCTTACATTTGCTCTTTTGCATTGGTTCAACCTCAAAATAAAAGCAGTGTTTTATTCTGTTGACATCATGTGTGTCTTTCTGTTTTCACTCATCTCATCTGCATACGGTATTAGAAAATTCAGTGAGATTTCTCCATAATAAACCACCTTCTGTTTTAGATACTACAAAGACTAAATCACATAAATGCTCCATTTTCTAATTCAGCCTGACATTAATTTTGCATATTGTTGAACTTAATATATGTTATAATATTGTTGCAGTTTGTGGTGACATTAATGCAACATAACGAATATGTGTTAATTTTATATGATGATTTTTGAACTGTGTTGAGTCCACTTGTCACCTGATGCTTTGCTGACGCCTGCATTAATGAACCGCTCTGGCTCCAGTTCTCATCTGATAAGGCTCATTTGTTATACAGATGCTCTTATGTAAGTGACCTTGAGCAGGAACACAAAGGAAGCATTCATCGGGAAAGCAGAGCTGTTACTTTATCCAGAGAGCATTCAGACCTCATCTGCTGTATAAACCCACACACTGAAAAATGAACAGGAGAAACTGCACTTTTATTGTAAGTGATTAGACTATCAGCTTTAGGCCTGAAACACACTATACAAGTGCATGCATGCAAATAATGTCAAGTTTGAGTTCATGCATCATGTTATGGAAGTGGCACTATAGCATTTTTAGAGATATCTGAACAATAGTATAGCTGAACATTAGCTCACAAAATGTTAATAATTTAAAACTTGAAATGTTATACTAGGTTTTAATAAACAATTTTTATAAAAAAAATAGTAGTTTAATAATTATATCAGCTGTTGATTGCGTAAGAATAAAATCTGAATTTTTGGAATAAGCTTCAATTTCATGTCAGATCAGTCTTGTTTTTATTTTTTATTAATGTAGAACACGGCCAACATGACTTACAATAACTGTATACAAAACCAGGGCTTTAAATATTTTGCATAAACCTCACACCTGATGCTTTTAAACCTTTGAAAACATTTTCGTTCTTTAGCTTTTGAATACATTTTTAATATTTTATACTTTTGGTAGTTAGAAAAAGGGTACATTATGTTGAGACTGAATGTTTATTATAAAGCACTTTGCTTCAACTATTGTTTTTAAATGTGCTCTGTAAATAAAGATATAAACCGTATAATCAGTAAATGAAATTGGAACATAAAAAATTAAAAGTATATATATATATATAAATAAATAAAAAAAGTGGCACTGACAAAACCACAGGAGTCTGTCCAGGTGCTCATCTTGCTTTATTAATTCAGTCTTGAATAATACAACAATGATAGTATAGTTTACTCTTACAGTTATAAGTACATCTTGCACCCTAGCGACACAAAGCAGGTAGATCTGAACACACACTCACTCTCTCTCTCACACACATTCAGGAGCAGCAGAGACGGACGAGTGCGTCGTGAGGTGATGAACAGGAGAGGTGGATGCTGGGAATGTGACCGAGGCTGCTCAATCGATCTTCATCTCTCAGAAACTCTGCCGTTCTCTTACTCCAATAAAACACAATGAAATGAGCTGGACGTGGACATCCCAACGTTAACATTTCAAAAAATATATAGCACATTGGTCGCCTCGCCCCAAATCAAATGGTCTCAAGGACAAGTGCAACACAGAATGTAACATCATTAGGAGTGTGAACAAAGAGACAGTGCAAATAAAGCACACGGGACAGACTAACACTACAAATAAAACTAACTAGAGTTACAGTACGCCTTAGCCCTTTGCCACATGCTTGTTTCAGGAAGCTGCTGTTTGTTCAAGGGCAAAGGTGTTCGCTCGGCGCTCACGACCCGTCTGTGCTTCACCGGGCATGCAGACAGACGAGCACATGAGTGTGAGATTATGCTCGAGACTGAAAAGGAAATGAAAGTAGTGAGAACAAAACGTCTAAGTGATGATGGTCCACAGGTCTGTGGGAGGAGCCAGGCTCGTGATGATGAAGATGATGGTCTGAAAGCCTGCTGGAGTCGGGTGGGATGCGATGGAGGGAAGGGAGTGCTGTATGAACAGCTGCGGTCCTGTCCAGCTTACTGCACTGGGACGACACGCATGGTGTTGGTGTAACCGGATCCTGGACGCCAGCCGGTCAGGACGATCACCACATCACCGGGCTTGACGAACCCACGAGCCTTACCTGAGAGAGACAAGAGGGTTTGATATGAAGAACCCTGATCACAGGTGTGTTCATGCATTCACACTGACAGCCCATGTTTATGCATTTACATTATTATTTTCAGTTTAGTGTGCATTAGTACTAAGTTGTGGTATTACTGTGTCATTTGCACTTAAAACAGTCTGCAGTGTAAAATGTAACTGGTTGTAGCTACGCTCACTGGTCCTTGTGAAAAGAAAAAGCACAACATTTAACCTTAAATTATGACTTGTGTGAACGGTATGGAAATCTATACTCAAATGTCAAATACCTGCTGACTTTAACATGCAAACATTTCAGTTTAATGGTGTTAGGATAAAAGTTTTATAGTTTAATATTAACAGGTTATTTTTCATAGTCTGTGCATCAAAGCTACTTTGATAGTTTTTAATGTATTAAAAAGCCTCTTGATGAATGTTTACTATGCTTATTTATATGTAATCAGCTGGAAATTTTGGAAACACTTTACAAAAGCATTAATAACTAACATTGAGCAATGCATTTCTTATAGTATTTATTATCTTTGTTAACTTGAGTTGATAAAAACCACAACAGTTCATGGTTCATGTTCTGTGCATTAAATATTGACATTAACTTTTGATTTTAATAATGTATTATGATATGTAGAAATGAGCATTAAGATTAATAAAAGCTTTAGAATTATTTTTCATTGTGAGTTCATGTTAATGTAGTTAACCAATGTCAACAAATAGAACCTTACTTTAAGGTGTTACCAACATTTTTATAAGATCTTTTAGAAATATACCTGTTTATTGTAGACTAAATTAAAAAAAAATGCGCATGAGCAGTTTTCAGTTTGCTCAGAAATTAAAGAAAGTCTCTTGGTGATCAAGAAATCCTGGATACTGACAATACTGCGGACAGCTTTAAGGCTGGAATTCACTACGCAACTTTTGCACAGATCTTTACCCTTAATTTAGTTGCTGAAAGTCAAAGAGACTCTCTGCAGATTTTAAGCAGTTGGAGCTGATGGATTTCATAGAAAACTGTGTTGTGTATGATGTGTACAGACTGATATTTTAGCTTCAGACTATGATTCCATTCATTTGGAATATATCAAACATGTTTGACATTTTGAGCCGATTTTAGAACGTGAGGCTGTGCGATGTCCAGTTTCTCACTCTAACCATTTGGCAAATGTATGATAATGTTTTAAAATGAGTGTGCTCCAGTCTTCCGCCTCTGTGTCTTACCAACTTCCATGGCAAAATTGACCCTCAGGTCCACATCCTCGGCCCAAACATCGTTGCCAGGATTGTTGTAGAACACAGGGAAGATGCCGCGGTACAAATTAATATTAATTACAGCTAACCCACCACCATTAAATCATGGATATTATTTAAACATGGTCAGAGATAAAACCGTGACCAGTAAAGTGTAAGTGATTTGTGATGATATCAGGGTTAAAGAAACTCATATCATGCAAAAGCATGAAGGAGTGAATGAAGAAGAAAGGTTGAGCACGTCAAGACATCAAGCATGCAGGTTTTCCGAAAGCTTTGAGCTCACTCAGAACAACAAACCAGCTTCAACAAAATATGTGTTTGTTAAAGCCAAGGGATTTATTCTGCTGGTGAATATTTCCAACTTCAGGAGTGTCTGGGCTAACTCAAACATGCCAACCTTGAGCACAACGCAGAGCACTGGAAAAGATTTAACAGGCTCATCAAGAACTGGCAGACAATTTAAGAGACTGTTAAAATGGACCGTGAGCTTCAGCGAAGGCTGTTGTCTGTAACTGACCCTGACACAACTCAGACAAACAAAACCAGCTAGTGAAGGCGAAACACATGCGTATGAGAGAATGAAAGTCATGAAGGATGCTGTGGCACTGAAGAAATATTACGGGTTAAACAAAATATTTAACAGGGTCCAAAATTTGGGACTAAATATAAAAAAATAATTTTGTTGATGATGCTGGTAACCCGTAATATTCCTTTGGAAATTCCTTTTAGTATTTTTTTAAGATGAGTGAAAAAATAAGTTATGAGTGAAAACATGAGGAATGTGTGAGTCAGATACTAGAGCGTTTAGTTGTCTTTCAGGGTTAATGTGTGTCAGTAGGGGGCGCTCTCACCATGTGCTGGGTGCGTACGGCCTCCAGAGGATAGTCTCCCTTTGCGGTCTCTCCACTCAGCATGATGCAGTCGGCACCATCCAGAACGGCGTTGGCCACATCGCTGCCCTCGGCACGAGTAGGGCGAGGCTTCTTGATCATGCTCTCCAACATCTATAAACACACAAGACTTGAGTGGACTTGAGATACAGTTATTTTACAGATGCACTAGTTCTGGAAGAACAACCATTTCAAGAAAACTGCTCCTTTACTTTCATTAGAGCAATTAAACTGCAAGATTAACCCTTTTAAAACACTACAAAATAATATATTATGGACTTTATTTTCTGGAGAATGCATGTTAATATGGGGTCGTATCTCAGCATAGCTGACCTGTGTGGCACAGATGATTGGCTTTCCTGCTTTGTTACAGCGACCAATCATCATCTTCTGGGCCAGAAACACCTTTTCTGTGGGGATTTCAATACCCAGGTCTCCACGGGCAACCATGATGCCATCGCTGGCCTCCATGATCTCATCAAACCTGGTGAATAAAAGGAGATGCATTCAAATCCAAATAATTTTTAAATCACACATCTAATACTACATATTGAGTTTGGGGGTCGGTACAGCTGGAGAAACAGGTGTCATCAGCTTACCTGCGCACACCCTCGTGGTTCTCCAGCTTGCTGATGATCTTGATGTTCTTGCCCTTCTCTCCCAGCACCTTACGCACCTCGTGCACATCAGATGCCTTGCGGATGAAGGAGGCAAAGATCATGTCGACTCCCATCTCCACGCCGAACAGCAGGTCCTTGACGTCTTTCTCTGACACGGCGGGCAGGTCGACTGCAGCACCCGGCAGATTGACACCCTTCTTACTACCCAGAGTTCCTCCATTCTCAATTTCACACACCAGATAGTCCGAGCCTGAGAAAGAGACTTTATTCATCAAGCAGAAAAAGATGATTCTACCCATTACACAGTGTCCACACAAGTAGCAAACCAGCGTTATGTCACATTCACTTGAACAGACTAATGAGTTATAAATGCAATACTGTGCTTCAGCAACAGAAGCAAAAAAGTAAAAGCATCAAACTGATTTATCACAGGGTTCCTGCAGGTTTTGTGAGGGTAAATTTAATGACCAAGTAAAGAAAATGTAAGGAATAAATGGAAGGAGACACAAAAGTGAGTTTATGATTAAAACAAGAGCAAATTAGGGCTGCAACTAACGATTATTTTGATAATCAATTAGTTGGTCGATTATTTTTTATTTTATTTATTTATTTATTTTTCTTCGATTAATCGGATTAAAAACAAACAATTTTATTTTTTTTATTTTATTGACAAAAACACACTATTCCACATTCTGCCCAATGTCCTTAAAACAAACGTTCCAACTGAATGCTATGAAAACATACATTGCTTATCAATTTATTAGACCACACAAACTCAGTGGTAACGAATAGGTAAGAGTAATGTTCTGCAGGAACACACGTTCATTTGACCACAGTCACGTCTTAGCCCGATTCGGACGGTAATTGTTTCTCATATGGACGTCTGTAAAAATAAATTTACTTATCACCTCAGTGATAAAACTCATGGATTCTGAATAGGGCTTAGTGTCATTTCTTTATCCTGTTAAAGGCGGTTTTGAAGCGTCTGATATTTATATTCAGACAATTACACGCTTTTATCCCTTTACAGTTCCTACTCTCATAAAATACTCGCAATGCATGTTGACCTTTAAACCTTTATTTAACTTTCAACAACAGATATTTCAGCACAATTAATGTTTTTGCGCTGATTATTAATTGTCTCTGTTTTCCATCTGTCTGACACGCGTGCACGTGCCCGCCGCGCTAGCGCTCATTCAGTAAAGATTAAAATTTAACACAGACTGTCAGGACTGTCAGGACGGACCTTTATGCAAAAATGGAAATGCTCGCGTGAATTTGTGACATTTATACATAAGGATATGACCGTTAACTGAAAGTGTTTTTGCGCTGAGGACGCACACGCATCTGTTAAAGCGCCTGACAGGGCAAGCCATTACGCTAATGCATTAGCTTAAAGCTTAAAATAAAGAATTCTCATGTTTTGGGCAGCTTGGATCACGTAACTCTCCTGCAGCATCTCATTCTGTTTTCTCCACTATTTTAGATGCATTTTGTCCATAGAAATAAGTAATTCAGTGCTTTAATTTGACGCGACCGGCTGAAGTTGGACAAGTATGTAAACTCCGTTGGACGTGCACTGTGGGCAGACCCGATTAATCGATAATGAGAATCGTTGTCGATGATTTTCATAATCGATAATAATCGATTAGTTGTTGCAGCCCTAGAGCAAATATTTGCCAATAGGATCAGAAAAATTCCCTTTTCAAAGGTAATTTACAAATTTTTCACCATTGACAGATATTTGTTCTTATTTTGTGAACACTGCGTCTTCTTATCTTCATTTTGCAACTCAAGTAAATGTATCTTGATTTAAGGATGTTTACATGTTTGTACTGAGGAAGATGGTCATCTTTTTGAAATGCATGCAACATTTAATGCCATAACTTTATGCTGATTAAAGACCTTTTTAAGGCCTTAACACGTGAAAGGTACAACATCATAAATGGAGATGTTCGTGTAACAGCTGATGTTAAGTACACTTAAATGTCTCATGGCAGTACGATTGTTAACTGACAGCACAGGTTACGTCATTCTTATACCTTCTGTGAACACGCTCAATCACACGCAAAGATCAAGGTGTGTTTTTAGACTAGCGAAGCACAACACACACACTCGTGCACAAATGAGCAGACACTTATGTGCGTGCAGTGTGTGATATGACAGGACACAAAGTCCATCTGTTAAGAGTTTGATCTACTGACCATGCAAAGGAAGTCTGCTGTAACAAACTAGGTTAGACGAGTACCTTTGATCAATGACGTTAGTGCTGTCATACAGATGTAGTACTAATCGCAATCTAGTCACTTTCGTTTCAGTAGCTCTACACTCAAGGTCATTCTGTTTGTTTAAGAGTGTGAAATGTTTGTGCTAGATGGCAGAATTTGTTTAACCCAAAGCCCTCGAACAGAGGAGTCACATCAGGGTCAGCTTTCAGGTACGAATCACCACAATCCCATGATCAAAGCAGACAGGAAGTGTACGGTTGCTGCGTTTTAGTGGTTTAGGCTTTGGCTCACAGATAGTAATCAGAGGGTTTCAGGTTTGTTGACGTGAAAGTTGTTTTCTGAACTCACACATGCACCAGTGTACTGCATCAGAGTCTGTCTGTAATCAAGTCACATTTCATGTGGACACAATGGATCACAAAATCATCTAACCAAATTTGTACAATGAAATGTTACCTAGCTAGCGGTAAACAGCTGTTGCTAATACTCATGGTGGTATCTGCGAATAATTCAATGTGAATAAAAGACTAAAATCAAGTAGGGATGTAACGATGCACCCTGTGCAGGTTGAAAATCAATAAAAATGTGTCTTCAAGTCGGTTGAGATGTTAAATGAATTAAATGGAGTGGGGGTTTATATAACTGTATATCTGAGGGGAACTGACTGTCTTCAGAAAAGTTTAGATGGTATTTAGATAGTACTTTCTTTCCATCTTGCCTCTTTATAATGCATTTAAAGTAGTGTTCATAAGCGCAGCTCTGCTTTGTTTACAACGGTAAACAATGAAACGCTGCGGTTCCATAAGCGCCACCTGCTGTCAATCTGCGTTCTCATTCAGTCTGTCTGCTGTTTGTTTCGTTCAGATATGTTTTATGTAGTATAGTTTCACAAAGCTAATATCACACCATTCTGTTTTTGCTTCAGATTTCAAAATGATACAATCTAAATCTAATTCAAATCAAAAACTGCTGATGCATCTTTGTTTGGATCGTGATTAAATGCAGTGGTTGCCTCTGATTTAAGATGGCCTTAGCTTGTTTAAAATAATTTCTTTTATTTGTATTATTTATTTATTTGGGATTTGTTTTAAAATTTCTGTTTAGTTTTGTTATTTGACATTTTTTTAATTTCACAAAGAAATGTGTGGCATTTTGTCTGAGAAATAATAAAACAACACCTTTTCATTTGTAATTTGTCTTATCGTGAGAAAATCGTATTGTGAAACCAGTATCGTGAATCGTATCACATCGTGAGTTGAGTGAATCGTTACATCCCTAAAATCAAGGCAATCAAACCCTCTTTGAACCTACAGTAGATGAGACAAACTGAACATTCATTACAGAAACATCTCTATAGCTACAAGGCAATGCTGAGTGAAGATCAAACACACAGTAAATCAGTGAATCTTATACAAACAGACTTACACACAACCTAAGAATGTGACTGTACACTGACATGTCTTTATGGTCAGTGAAGTCATACAGCACTAATCAAACACACACACACACACACAACCCCATGAGCTGGTCTTTGTGTGCTTGAGCTGACTTGGATTTTGTATCTTAAGGCGGACGCTACTAAAGCTCAATTTAAAACAGAGATAATCCATCTGACACAGCCTGAAGCGCAGGAAAGTCAATGTGATGATATCCAGACAATTACAGCTCTGTTGGCACACGCACATCAAAATCATGATCATGTCAGACTGAACTGTGAATTTAGGTTTCTAAATCAAATCAGACAAATTTGTGCAAATAGTCAGCTATCTACTTTAAATATTCTTACAGGAAAGTGAAACCAGTCACATGACCACAGTTTGGCAACAGGATGGTTTTGGCGAGGACTTCACTGCGGTCACTAACCTAATAAAACCCCACTGCATTGATGCCATGGTGGGCTGTCGTACGTGAGCAGATACACATCACAGGGAAAACACTCACACACTCTTCCTCACGTAGTCATGTGATGACTAAGACAGGCAGAGTGGAAAATCCAGGCCCTCGTGCAGTGAGCCACACACACTCATAGTGAAAGGAGGGGCTATTCCACTTCCTGATACTACAGGAAATGATGCAAACTGTGGTTTGTGTAACTAATGAGATGGTAATGCTACATGCAGCATGGCAAACATGCCTGTTGTCAATCCTGGTATTGATTGCTTTACGCTATGTGGCTCAACAGACAGCATCTGATGCTAACAAGGACACTGAAGGTCAATATTAGTCAGGAATGTCTTGTTATTATAGGCCTGTTTTATAACCACATTCCCTGCTTTATCTCCAAAAATTCCAGCTATGAAATTCCAGCCTTGTTCTCAGAGCTCAGTGAACAGGAAGAATCCATACAGCAACACCCTGGCAACCAGTAACACCCTAGCATCACGGTCAAGTCAAATTAATCTGTTTGTTCTGTCGTGACGTACACAAAACTGTTTGCAGGTCCAAGTCTCTACTTGTTCCAATTGAGAATAACATCTCAATTCATATTCATATCACACATTTAAGCTTTAAAAACTCACGGGTTGCACTAGTCTACAGAATATTTTTCGATTCAAAAGATGAATCACTGTTTGGCCATCTGAGATTTCAGTATGGAAAGGTTAGGATTATGGCTGTGCGATTTGGGGGAAAATATCAAATTGCGATTTTTTTGACAGATATTGAGATTGCGATATGATTTGCGATTTTTAAATTTGCAAAGTCACGCTTCAGCTCAATATTGTCAATAATGTGCAGCACAGTATGCGTATCATTACCCTGCTGAAAAAAACAATAGAAACCACAGGTTGCGCGCGTGGGTCAAGCCTCGTCCATACTGCCAGATGCGCTCGTGGAGACTTGCGGAGCCAGATGCGAGTATAAACGAGCATTACGAGACAGGCTGTGAGTGCGGCAAGCGTGAACGGCTCGTCCGTGACGTGGGATTCGCGCCGCGTGGGGCAGAGAGGAGCGAGTATGAGAAGCATTCACAGACACAGGCTGTGTGCGCGCTCTTCTGAATTGGGAATAGCTAACATGCATTATAAACTGATTTCAAATTAATCTGTTGGGGAGATAAAAGGTGTAAAATAACGTTCACGTACTAACAAAAACATCTAAGAATGTATCTTTTATTCTCCAGGGGCCGGTTGCACCAGCTAGACGTAAAAACGCTGGGTGTAAGCCCTACGCTGGGCTTTGCAACGTGGCAATGTCTCAAATCGCGATTTCGATTAATCGCACAGCCCTAGTTAGGATGATGATTTTTCAGTAGTATTACAGCACACCGTTTGCTGTTAGCATCTGATAGAGCGATTGGACCCAGAAACGGTGGCCCGTGACGTCAGACTTAAAAAGCAGATTTTATCCATTTATTAAAGGGGTCATATGATGCTGCTAAAAAGAACATTATTTTGTGTATTTGGTGTAATGAAATGTGTTTATGCGGTTTAAAGTAAAAAAAAAACACATTATTTTCCACATACTGTGCATTATTGTTTCTTTTCTATAAACTTTTATAAAGAATATCTCTTTGGATTTGAGACTTTAGTCTTTGCAACTTTACAGATCTTCTTTATGCACCAAGAGCTTGTAACACTCCAAAGAGAAAGGAAAAAATGAAATCGCATCATATGACCCCTTTAAATTTTTTTTTTTACAGTCAATCACAATGATCTGAATTAGCTTCGACACAAATAATACATACCTACAATAACTGGTTTAGTAACTGTAAGAGTCTAAAGGCCCGTTCACACCAAGGACGATAACTATAAAGATAACGATAAAGATATAGTTCTAAAAATCGTTCTCAATATTAAAGAATAGCAGAGTCCACACCACAACTATAACGATAACGATACAGAGAAACGATATCGTTGGAATCACTTTCAAAACGATTTTTCTCCAG